TATGAACAAGTTTGGCAGTATGGCTCGTAGCGTTTTCAGTGTGTTGTTTTTAGACTGAAGACGATATACAGACGCTTCAGCAAGTGATAGCGGCTCGTTTAAAGCACGCGAATGAGATCAAGCGGAAGTTAGCGATTACTCCATGGCAGGAAATATCGCATGATGTTTCCGAAGGACTTCGAACCGTTAAAGAATCAGAAGCGTTCGTAGTGATCAGTGATTTGGAGTCGAGATGATTTTTGCTTTTGTTTAGTTTTCACGTTACTAACGATTTGATTCATCAGGCGACGGACGCGCTGTCCACAGTTGGAAGCAAGGTGTCCAGTAAAATCGGTCAGCTGCGCAGTACGAGCACATTCAAGTCATTCGAGGAACGCGTCGGCTCAGCATACGCAAACGTCAAGGTTTGTTCATTTGTAATTATTCTCCTTGACCCGCCTGGTGGTTGACGAAAATTCATGTGATCCATAAAATAAATTATATTTGCAATATGTGATTTATGAAACTCATTTTATTTTCCTGTCTTCTGTTCAGTAAATTGGCATTTCAGTTGTTCTAGACAGCGAATCAGACGGATGCTAGTGTTTACTAGTACTGCCGAATTTTCAGCAAAATTGCGTTTGCCATGATAATATTTTGCCCTGATGATGGCCAGTTTAGTTTGGCCTAAAGTCGGCAGTTCTAGAAATAACTACCATTCGTTCGATTCATTGTGTCCACTACCACTGAAGTGCCAGTTTAGGAAGCATGTTAGTTAAAGCTATCGCCTTGAGCCTTTTGCATTGGCGGGACATCTTTCGTCTGTGAAAGTCCGTGAAATCTGTATTCGCAGCGTTTCAGCACAGTTCCTATAAAGCTCTGCATGCTGCTTCGTCAAGTGAGCAATTTCTCTCCAAAAGCAGGTCCGCTTCTGCTTTGTTTATCTATGTAGCATGTTCGGGTTGCTACATCAGAAGTTCGCTGGCTGGAGGTCATGGTTTATGCTCAGCAGGTTTGTCTGAAAGGATTAATCTTCAATGGAGGTCATGAATCTCAACTTCTGTAGAGGTCACCTCTGCCCAGCAGGGAATGCAGTCATTACTTACGTGGCTTCGTCCTCCATTAAGCCTCGTTTTGTGTCGAAGTCAATGCTGCTGAAGATAGGGAAGCCATCGGGTGAAATAGCTCTTTCCCCGTACTACTCGCCATGGTACTCTTATCTGCATACTCCTAGTCAGTACGATATCTGGCCTAATATCTTGAACTGTATCTTCTTCTAGAATGAAACCCTCATCCGTGCCAGGGTTGAGAGCAGTTTTGATTGGCAAAAAGAGAGCATTTCTCCGTGGAACGATTTAAATAACCGATGTCTCAATTTTTGCTCGAAAACTCCTAGTTCTTAATGGATTTCTTCTGTTTGTTTCTTTTCAGAATAAAATCGTGACTTCGACATCTTCCGAGCGTTTGGGACCAGAGAACGATTCAAGTGCGCCTGGACAGGCGACTGCGGCTCGTTCGCAGCCGACCACGCCACCTGTGCCGCCAAGTTAAGGGACCAGTTCATGCGTCGACGTTATTTAAGACGGAATGTTTATTTACACCCGAAATTTTGTTTATAATCTAATCTTTCTATTCTTTCGCTTTTTTGTTCCCACGAGTGTTCTGTGAGAAACAAGTCTATTATCGAATTATGATGCTGAAAACTCATTGTCAAAGGTAAACTGGGAAATTTTCGACGCATTTTGATTTCGATGTTGAGCACAGCGATATGGTATTGATGCGTATTGTCTGTGGACGAGTTGGAGCTTTTATTAAATTTTACGTGCTCTAAATAGAGGAGTTTGTTGCTGTTCAGTTTACAATGAATCGCTCGGTAGCCCGCCGCAAAGGCAATTATACTTAATTAGCTAATCCTCTGAAGTCAGTTGCTGTGTTCATATTGTGACAGCAGTTGAATTCCCAGGTGATAAACGAACGAGACAATGGCAATGACGGCAGACAAGAATGTTCATTTCATGAGGCAGGTCTTTCTTAATGAGGAATCACTGTGACTTCCTTCATATCATATACTTCCTGAAAAGATGACGATGCCGCTTATAGTTGACGCTAGGCTTACGGAAGTTAAGCAATAACGGTGTTTCTTGCCAGCTACTATTTATCTTATGTAGTTCATGTTGATATTTCCAGTTGATGACGGTTAAACTTCATATGGGGCAAGGGGCTCGCTGCAGTGATATAAAGCGAGCGCCTTAAGTTAAATGAGATGAACTGATCGCAGAGGTGGTTACATCGCTCTTTCACGGTGTCTCAGCTGCGGTGCCATGGACTTATTGCATAGATTGATTGCGTTATAATGTGTAGCTCTTGCTTTCTGACCTGGTTTTCAGTCTTCCCATTCAAGTATTAATTTTGTACGCAGAGTGTTCTTTCCTTCCATCAGAATTCACAAGTATGCGCTAAGTTTGTAACGGCTTAAGGAAATATCTGTCTTAAATGGGCGATCCTGGTAACGTATGAACGCTTGTATCAATGTTTGTATCTAATGTTTGCACAAAACATATAATTATGTTTTTTTCTGTCACCAATGAGTGCTGCTGAGTGTGGAGGGAAAGTAAAGTTTGAAATCGTTCGAATGTCGATCTTTCTCACCCTTCCGTAATGGGACCGTTTCTGACAATTTTTTGCAAGAAATTATTGGTTTGGCGCTGGCATCTTCATCTCTATACCATTAGCTAAGAGTGCCTTATTTCTTAAAGGTGGAGCCGAGAATGGATACCTTGCGGGCATAGTGTGTAGACTCCTGTTTCGTTTCCACAGAGGAGTACTTATTTGTCTTCCACAGAAAGAAAAAAAGCGAGAGATTCGGACCAGGACTTCTCGCTTCCGAGTCAGACTCTTTTGACTGAGCAACCCTGGTCAGAGCTGAGTAGAGGGTACATGAAGTTCTTTTGAAAGTCAACCTCAATCTCTATATCGTGGAGCGCGGGTATCGACTCAAACAAGATATCTAATGTCTTAGTTTTAAGTTTATCCCTAGCGTTGAAGATGGGCTTATATGAATACCGAAACGCCTTGTTGCCGAGGCACTGAAAGAGCATTATTACAGATTACCTTTCAGCTCCGAACGTATCACCTGCTGCAGACGACCTCTAAAACAGCGGAGAACTACTACCAGGATTTACTTGACGAATGACCTGAGATGCTAGTCGATGCGTCGGTCTGTCTATGACCCGACAAGCCACCATTGCGTATAGTAACAGATTTTTCGCTATCGTTTTATAGCAGACTATCAAGCGCAATTTTTTAAAAATCGTTTAAGTGGCAGACACATTGAATTGCAAATCCATGTGGTAAGTTGTGGAATTACAGTCTATATAAAATGCAAAAGTAAAGGCGGGAAGGCATCTTCCGTCGTGACAACCGCCGTTTGAATAAAGGTTCGAGAAGATCTAGGCAACGTAGAACTGCTGAATTCCAGAAATAGGCAGACGTGAATATCATTCAATTCTAATAAAAAAGAACTCGTCCAAGACCAGATTCTACTACGCATTGCACCGCGCTAGATCCCAGCTGTCTAGTTGACTATTTAAACAGATTATAGCTCCATGGTGTTTGAACATCTGCGGTGCCAAATGCACCTCGCATAATTTTGACCGCTACAGTCACTTCGTGCTCATCACGAACGGTGTTTCAGGAGTTAGTACTCCTTAGGTGTTATATCGTAAACGAGCGCAAGGTAGCTCTATCATATAAAATGATGCGAGATGTTTCTGACATTACAGGCATTCAAATATTGTGGAGCCGTGGGCTGCTTAAATAGCCTCCTAAGCAACTGGAAACAGGGAGCTGTAAATGGCGCCGAAAAATCGGACATTGGAAAAGTCATTCGTTACCTGACATATTCAGGTGTGCGAACAGCTTATAAGTTTACGCCGTTGCTTTGTTAGCATCTTCTGAAACTGATCTCAAGCCCTCTCTGGCAAAGTTCGCAGTTGAGTGCGACGTGGACGGTATGAATGTGAACCTTTCTTAAGCCAAACGCCTAGTGCTTTCCCGTTTCCCTGTCTCGCTTCGCCCTGCAGTGGAACAAGTTAAAGATTTCACGTTATCGAGGTAGTGTTTATGGGTGATGGAAGATGATAGGAAA